ACGCCTGGCCACCCGACGTATACGTTGTCGGCTCGCTCAACCCGTCATAGATCCGAAAAAAAGACCCGTTTAGTGCTCGGAGGACGGAAAGAATAAAAAATGACGGATCACCGCGAGAATTATTCGTAATGATAAGTTCTACACACAAATTTGCGTTTGGAAGCGCGGTGATGCGGCCAGGACAATGTCGGTTGTAACGCAAAATCCAGCGGATATGGAAGGGTTTTCTATTTCCGTGAAATTTCGTTTTACAATGTAGGTAGATTAATGAAGATCGATGCTCTAATCGTACGACGTTCTCTATTAAAAACTTAATGCCGAAGATAATTTTATTACTACGCAACATTTTACAAAATTTATGTAATATTCATCACGCCTAAATAAAGGATTAAGATGTAAATCAGGGGTGTCCAACCTTTTTGTTTCTCTGGGCCGCATTGGAAGAAGTCAAGGAGTTTTGGGCCACAAGTATATATAATATATATTTGTGGCCAATATACAAGTATATTTAAGGATTAACATGCCTAGATTATAATAATATGTATTAAAACTTTATCACGAAACAGGATATTTTAAAAAATTACTTCTACAGATACTTTCAATTTGTACTTAGAAATAGATAAATTCATTTATTTGATAAAACGCAAATATTTGGTTTATTTGAGTCTCTGATTAATAAAAAGCGACCAAACACCATTTTAAAGTGCATTTTTATTCAACTAATATATTTATAAATGATATGTAGTCCCAAAAGTAGCCAAAGCGCCAAATGATATTTTTTTACGTCAAACTAAAAAAGTAGCCACGTTTGGCGCAATGTAGCCAAATCTTGCAACGCTGGAAGGAATACTAAATAAAGCTGGAGTTGTGAATCAAAGGACTATAGAGTCAAATTCGGAAAAAGAAGAGAAAGGACAAAAGATAAAGAAGTGAGAAAGATTGGAAAATTGAGACTCAATATTTGCCTAACAGAAGAACTATTTAACCTTTTTGACAACTTTTTATTTTTCGTCTTTTCTCTCCTTTCACCAAATTTGGGTCTATAATCCTTTGAGTCACAACTCCAGCTTTATTTAGTAATCCTTCCTCATTCACACATCTCCAAGTACATGAAAATATTTCATTTCCACTCAAAACTAAAATATGAATAAAGGTTTATGGCTTTGTGAAACTTCTTTTCTGAGTTTATGCCGTTGAAATAAATAAATAATAAAAAGTTAAAACATTTGTCGGTTTTGTTTACACCTTTATTGGGCCGCATGCGGCCCGCGGGCCGAGGGTTGGACACCCCTGATGTAAATAGTTAAATAGAAATTTCGATTCTCTAATAAATTTATAAATATAAACGGAAGAGAAAGGGAGCAATTTATAATCATTCGACGTAGTCGAAACGGCCAAGTTCTACAAAATATAGAGAAGTATTTAATTAAAAAATTAATTTAAAAGAAACCCTTACGCTTAATTTAAACGAGATGATTTATATTAATAAAAAAGCCAGGACGAAAATTATATTTTTAAATTAGTTTTCGTAATGATTTAGGAGATGAAATAAAGTAGCCTGTAACTGGACAGAATTTGCATCCCGACAGTTATTCGTATAAATTTTGTAAAGTTGGAAATTAAGTAATTCTTTTCATTTTTTTCCCTTTAAATTGTAAACTGTGACAAATTAATTCTAGAATTTAGCCAAAAAAAAGACCAAGCCACGCGCGCGCGTATCCCCCTTCGAATAAAATAGAGTTGAACTTTATAATTCTGAATAATTTTTAAATATTTACAAAACGAATAGCTTGGACTTTTATCAATCGATTTATATAAAACCGCGTTGACGTCGTCGTCACTTAACCAGCGATTCGTCTTTAATCCCGGTAAATATCCTTACACGGGAGTACTCGATACGGATATTCGTAACGATGCTCTTATCGAGACGTTAATCATTTTAAATAATGTTACGTCGCTAGTTTTATTGCCTCATTTATCCATTCGTATTTTATGTTATTTAGCACGAAACCGGCATTAATACTCGGGAGCATTCGTCGGTTCTTACTCACCAGCGTGACGTCGTTCGTACTAAAAACCTTGACATTTTTGTCGACTTCGTTGCTCGTCGTTTAATACGCCAGATGATTTACGACATTAAATCATCGGAGTCGAATGCGTATCGCGCGCATTAGGAAACCACCAAAATATCACAATTTTATCCATTTTAATACACAAATTTAAACGAAATCTTTCGGAAAATAAGCTGTTAAAAACGTCGTTAACTATTTATTTGGGCAGTGGCCCGTTATTCTACGGGCAAAAAGGGCAATTGTCGGGGCCCCCAACGAGGAGGTCCGAACGATCTTTTACAAACTCGTCACTTTAGTAAGAATATCGAAATTTAAATTTGGGTCGTATCTGGGGACCCTAGATTGCCGGTGGGCGCAGGCGCGGGATTATTAAAATCTGCCAGAGGTGGCCTTAAAAAACCTACGGAGATACCGGGAGTTTCCCCAAAAATTCCCCGAGAAAAACGTTTGAAGTCAAAGCTGTAAGAGTGGTCCCTAATTCAAATTTTCCTGGGCCCCAACGAGCTACAACGCGAAGTATTCTAGGTTAGTTTACATCAGAACACTATTAAACTATTTCGGCACGCAACGGAGAAACTACCCCCCCGGCGAGGAAAATTTTTAACGCGTTTCCTTTATGTATTATATTTGACATAATTTTTAAGAAGGGTTAATGTTAGAATAATTTACATATTTTATTCTTACCTTTAGTCATTTTTCAGCCAGACACTTCCACCGCGTAAATCTGTGTCAGATCCATCTGTTATTTTGCGTAGAGCAGTAAAATAAAAAGACTCCGGCAATTATGGTCGATGGACGAAGGACAAAAACGAAAATCGGCTTTTTGAACACAATAGGAAATCGTTAAAGAAAATGTCTGATCTAATACCAATAAAATGCGCTTTTTTCTCTCCATATAAAGTTTCTGTAAATTATAAGTAAAAAGTTTTTTGCATAAAAAGTAAGTTTAAAATCCCATTCGGTTCTTTGACTCGTAGAAGTTCGAAGCAAAAATCAACAAAAAAAAAAAAAAAAGTTTACTCTCACCGAGAGTCTCTGTTCTCACTCGACCGTAATATTCGAGTTTCTTTTTTAAAAGTGTTTTCACATATAATTATCTGTATGAGCTCATAATTCTGGAAACACATTCTACTCTATTATTAACCAATCAAATATCTTAAAGAAAAACTGAATCCCGGGGAGACCGCGACGTTCGAAAGGTGACGAATTTGAAGGAAATCTTTAAATTTGTGTAATTATTTTCGCTATTGTTATTCGAAGTTTCTATCTTATTCACTCGATCGTTAACATTCGAAGTTCGACTTATTCGAATGGTGCAGTTTTCCCCCTTCTTTTGTAAGAGAATTACCAGAAGCCACTTCTCGCCTCGTTAATAAGCTTCTTTTTGGCAATCAAACGTCGAATAATGCGAAAAATTTAATAATAAATCTTCACCGAGTTTTTTTCTATTAAGGCAGTGGCTGCCAAACTTTTTTGATTCTCGGCACCCTTGCTAAATACAGATTTTCCCAAGGCGCTCGATGTCAAATTCTGACACGATAACATTTCGTGGCCCCCTGTGAGGAAGCCGCGGCGCACACTTTGGGAACCGCTGTATTAAGGTAAAGATTTCGTGTGGAAAAAATGATATCGAGCTGTAAAAGAAGAAAGATTGCGAGAGAACAATAAATAAATGTTTGACCTCTTGTCTATAACATATTTTGAACGTAAAATATTGTCTACTTTTAGTGCGATCCTGTTAATTCTCCAACGAAAATATTGAAAAGTTTAAACAAGGGAATAGAATAAGTGAACTAAATTTTATTATTCGGTAAATATTTAAATATTGTTCTCGATCAGTTCGGCCCTATCGAGATTTAACGAAAGTTTTATTTTTATAAATTCGTGATTCGTTACTTAAATGGAGTAAGAAATTGCTTTTTTACTCATTCGTTTGATAATTTAAGTTAAATGTTTTTAAAATTGTCATTTGAGGAATTGGATTAAGATAAATTGCGGGAAAATAATTAATTAAACGATAAATCAGATGTTCTCTCGCAGAATTTCGGCCCGAAAATCGTGTTAATAAACGCCGAATAAACTTACAATTATTTACTGATGGGCAAGTAGTTAATAACAATACGTTAGTAAATAAGGCGTTTTCTAAGGCCGTACAAAATCTCCATTAGTTTAAACTGGTAAGTAGCAATTATCGTAAATGTCGAACGGGGGGATTATAAAATAAAAACATAATATCGACATTGAAATAATAATCTTTCCTCTTTGTTATTAATTCTGTTGTTTTCCTACTCGTTCAAAATGATGTATCGTCCCCCAATATGGAGCATATTGGGGAACGATACGTCATTTTGAAACTTAAATGGCGTGGATATCGTCATTTTCCTGCACAACGAAATCTGTCAAAATATGTTTGAAGTTTCCTAACTGTAGCCTACTGTTTATAATTAATGGAATATGAAAATGAAGAATTACATGACGAAGCTTTTAAGAATTTCTTCAAAATTAACCTAGAAAAACTGCTTTACATACGAAAGAATTGTCGATATTTGAAAGACGAACTTTTCTTCTTCATTATCGTTCAAGCGAAACGGTTGTTTCCTCTTGTTGTTTTTAACTGTTTAAACTCTCCCCATTTTGTCTGAATCAGAAGTAGGACAGAGCGCAAAAAGCGCATTCGACATATCGATGTAAAGCAGACTAATAAATGGAGGAGGTTGAACGTCCTTCGATAACAGACGAATGAGAAATTGAATCGGTCTCTTCCTCTTCGTTTATCCACCCACTTCGTGAACGTATAAATTAGAATTCCGTGAGACCGTCTTCATCATTTCGGAAACCAATTTCCAGCCGAGAATGGTGAGTAGTCCTAAAATGAAATTTTCCATTTTACTGCTACCGCATCTTAATTTTACCATATTTAATTTTTAGATGCGATTAATAAATTTGGCTCTCGTCTTGGGTTCCTTCGCCTTCTGCGCCTCTCTGCCTAACAACATCAGAAACGATCCTATGGATTTACAAGCTCGGGCCAGCGGTCATTCCTTTGCCGGTTTTGGAGGTCACGGAGGAGGACACGGGGGCGGTCACGGATTAAGCCTGGGAGGACACGGAGGAGGTCACGAACTAGGCGGCCACGGAGGAAGTCACGGTTTGAGCCTGGGAGGACACGGAGGCGGTCACGAACTCGGCGGACACGGCGGAGGTCACGGTTTGAGCCTGGGAGGACACGGCGGAGGTCACGAACTGGGCGGACACGGCGGAGGTCACGGTTTGAGCCTGGGAGGACACGGCGGAGGTCACGAACTGGGAGGACACGGCGGAGGAGGCCACGGATTAAGCTTGGGAGGACACGGCGGAGGAGGCCACGGATTGAGCCTGGGAGGACACAGCGGAGGCCACGGAGGAGGCGGACACGGCGGAGACGGAGGCGGTCACCATCTGGGTCTAGAAAGTCACGGCGGCAGTCACGGTCTAAGTTTGGGAGGTCACGGCGGCAGTCACGGTCTAAGTTTGGGAGGTCACGGCGGAGGTCACGGTCACGGAGGATCTCATCCGAGTTATTTCGAAGGATGGGCGAAAGGATGGAAAGCAGGTTTAAAATTGTGTGGCGGGAAAGGGCATTGATTCCAATTTAATGTAAAAAACCATTATGTATATATTGTATAATTACGTGGAAATTGTTACTGTATGTTGTTATTAAATGCGCACGTCGATCTCGTGACGTCACGATTAGTATATATTCATTTCGAATTTAACTATTTGTAAATTTCTAAAATCCATCACCGATCCTCTTTTTAGGAGGATTATCGCTAGGAGGCGCGTTTGTCGTCGTAGCTCCGAGTTACATTTAGTACATCTAGACGAGCGTTTCGACCTTCCCCAATTCACCAAGGTCATAATTATTTACCTATAGAACCTTTCCTTTTAAGTCTGTTTTGGGTGTAATAACTTACGCGCGAATCTGTTTAGAATTTTCACAGCGAGTAATTATAGTCCAGGATCTACGTAATATACAAATATAATGGAATCGATTTTTTTCCAGCTTAATTAATGTAGAAAGATAATCATCCCGAAAGAAGCGTAACGGCACCCTTGCCGGATACTTATTCCCTGCAACCGGAGTGTATGTCGAAGAAAGTGCCTCGGGAATCGACGTTAACTTTGACTTAAAAATTTATTCTTCTACCCAGATTCGAGCCGGCGTAAAAAAAGTGTGGAGAAGGAATAGAGAGCAAAGTCGAAAAAGAGGACCCAGCTCTCTAGTTACTAATCTCCGGGAATTGATTTGCATATTAGTTTCTACAAACGGTAGTCGGAAAAGCCTGCCTATGCACCCGTGGAATGCGTACAATCTCGTGTATTTTAAGCGGTGCGCTTTAATTCGTTTTATGTCGAAAAATCTAAAATTTGCAACAAAATATTATTTATTAACTCGACCGATTTTCTTATTTATTTTAATTTGCCATCCGTCGTGGTTTATGGGCTTATTCTCGTCGGCCAAACACACATTTACTCTTGTCGGTGTTAATTTTCGGATATTCGGCTAATTTCTGTAAAATACAGTATTATTTAAGTTGCCTCCGATGATCTTCAATGATGTATCGGTGTCCGAATACCACGTAACCATAACCGTTCGTCTGCGTGAGTTATAAGGTCGGTTTCCGATAGAAATCCAAAAAGATGGTTGGCTTAGATATTGAACAACGGGGGCCTAAGAGTGATCCCTGATCCTTTGTTAGACATAAAAGACATTGAAATAGAGTTATTTCAATTCTATTGCCGGCTATTCTATTTATCAAATCGTAAAGATTTGATAAATAGAATAGTTGGCAAAATGGCCTTTCTCTCGGTCCTACGCTTTTTAATTTATTTTCGAGATTTGATAGGTCGATACTGTTAAAAGCTGGTGAGACGGACAAATATATCCCTGCTACTAACCTGTAATTGCGATTTGTCCAATTCGGTAGTGGTCCCCTCAGTAGGGGAGATATTACTTTTATAACTATGTTGATTATTATTATTAATTATTCTGGCTAATGTAATTTTCGAACCGGCGTAAACATTTTTTCGGTAATCTTTACTCAAACTAGAATAGTAATAATCGATATATGATTAGGACTCTTACTCTGGCAGACAGCTAAGACAAGATTATGGTTTAATTGGTGCGGAAAGATTGCGGTAACGAACGCTTTATTTATTAAATACGAGATAGGCGTGACAATTATGTCGGCCGTTTGTGATAGAAGAAAGTAAATTTGGTACACAGTTAGGTACGTCACGAGAATGTACTGTACAGTACACTAATACTACGTTCGCGCACAATCCACGACTCATTTCGATGTCGATTTACCTACAATCTGGATTGTGACTGTCGCCAGTCGAATCTCGTGTTGTTCGCACAGGCAGTCCGCTCGAGAAGAATCCGACTATTACACGCGACGATAAAACTGACGTAACTACGCGGTAAGTCACGAAGAACAACAAACAAAACGAAAGTTTTGGTTAAAAATAAATACAGTACTTTTTCTTGCCATATATCTAATAATAGATGTTATCGTCTCTCCAAATACAGTGTCTTTTTTATTTCTATGTCGATAGCCCTACACGTGTTCCGTAGCCATCTTGTATCTTCTCGCGCACGTGGAATTGTGGGATCTCTCTTATGACTGGATCTAGTTTCGAGAACTCTCTCGAGTCGATCGCGATTGAACCTGGTTTCGGTCGAGAGAGGTCGCACCAAGGCGTAGTCGCCGACCTTGGTCATGAAATGCTCGGTGCGAACGGGGTATAAAAGAAGGGTTTTTTCGAAATTCTCCCTGAGGGGAGAGGGAGAGGGTTAAGGATTAGCCCCGAAGAACTCGGCTTCTACTGTACTATTGTAGATGCTTTTTATTGCGTTTTTGTGGGAAATCGAACATATTTTTATCTAAAAATTCTCTAATTAACCTCGAAAGAAGCGGGACCTAATTCTTGCACCCGGTGAAAACGGATAAGATCGGCTACGTAAGATAATCTTTGTAGTTACGTAAACCAAATTCTATAATATAATACGATAGAAGAGTTAAAGTACAAAATTACCTAATCTTAATGTTTGTTCTTATTATTTGCTCGAGCAACGCCGGGCTTACCTGCTAGTAAAATATTGATATAATAATATTTGATACTAGCAGACGAGGCCGGCTTTGCTCGGCCAAACGATTTGGATGGTTTGGTAAATATTGTACGTTTGGAAATTAAGTTATTGCTATCAAAAACAAAAATCCGCATCTAAAATAGCACGGTAGAAGCCGTTCTTCGGGTTAAGTCCATCTTCTCCCTCTCCTCCGTGGAGGAATTTCGAAAAATCCCTTGTTAGTGTGCATTTTAATGACGTATGCTGTGTACCAAATTTCACCTCTAGGTCAAGAACACATCTGTAAAATTGTGTAGCAGAAAACTGAATTAGAAATCAGCTTTCGGTTCCGTTTCTGCCAGAACACACACAGATAAAAATTCTGGCCGAACAAGAAACGCCACAGCCACTAACAGCGCTACGTTTTATTAATTTTTTCTTATAGGCCTACTCTATATCTATTCTTTGTACCTTGCAGTTTTTTCTCCGCTGCCTCTGCTATAATTTAGACAATTTGATAGACTTGTATTCCGAATTGAAATAACGTCTGATCTAAATACTATATATCGATTCTACTACACCTACCTGTTGTTTAAAATTTAGCACCTATGGTCGTCCATAAACTTCGTTTAAATACAGTGTCTTTGTATGTGTCACATTTTTGTCATAAAGACAAAAATGACTGATATGGTCGAAAGGATCCAATAAAGTCTTCTATTTCATTTATTTTTCGTTTCTTGGATACCGTCACAATTGTAGGGTTAAGCCGGATGCACACATGCGGCGCGGCAAGGAAAAGCGGTGACGCAAACGCATCTTCGCCGCGCGGCAATCCGCTTACATTTCGGCGCATGCGTTCAGTATTCAAGATGGCGAACGATATCCACGTGTTTACGCACTGTCCCTATCCACGTGTTTACAAATTTTGTTTTGTACGACTCGCTTTATTTAGCTAAAAGATTTTGTCGAAGATTTGAATTAGAGATACTTTTTTGGATCGAGAAAGAACTGGCGTACAAAATAGACTTATTCGTGGATCAAGATCTCCCGATAAAGAATACTATTTCGAGTAAGATTCGGTTGTTTTGTTCTTTGAATTAAATCATATATGATTATTTGTGTAGAATTTGTTTTAAATTTGTTATCCTTTCCTCTTTATTCTGATTTTAGTTATCTCCGTTAACCGCCTCGAACTTTCCGCCATTAAGACACCACGTGATTGTATTTTCTCACGTGACTACGAGACAAACTGTTATTGGCTGATAGAAACGCGTCTTGGCGGCGTTGCCGCAAAAGATAGAATTCAACCAACTTTTGCGGCACGAGAAAAGAGGCACAAAAAAGACTTCTCTTTGTTGGAGGAATTTTTGGCGTTAAAAGTAGAGACACACTCTACTCTGTTTTCAGTTATTTTTCAGCCAAAATTTCAGAAAAAATTTTACGCTTTCTGTTTCATACTAGATTTTATGCCGAATTTTAAGCGTGTGTGTTCCCGGCCTTAGGTTCAGCGGTTTGCTCTGTGCGACGATGAATCGGTCAGTCAGTCAGAACATGTAATTTTATATGTATAGATTACATTTCATTTGTAGGCATTTTAATGCGTGAAATATAACTAAAAAGATAAAAAAGACTTAGGTTAGGGGGTCGGGAAAGGATCAATTCATTTTATATTGTTTGGTGTGGGAAAATTTCTTTCGGTTTTCGAACACCTTTTAGGAACGAATTATGTTGGAAAACCGAGGTTTCGCTGTACTCTAACAGATAATGTCGTCTACGTGACTCCGGTGCCCAGCTCTGTTCTCGACCAGAGAGGGAAGCCGGACATTATCTCGGAGCAGGGAGAATACTTAAAGGCCGGTAGTGGTTCCTACCCCTGTAAACTTAACATTATTTTTGCTAACAGGAAATAAAATGTTTAAGACCGCCTTTTATTAATAAAGAGGCATTTTACATGTTTCGTTTGTTGCAAAAAAAAAGAAGGATGACCGAAGGGGCCCGCTCTAATCCCGCCCCGTACGAGCTCTGGAAGATCCTGTCTGCCCGAACGTTTTAATTCCGATAACTGCTCGATATATTTAATTATTTATTACTTCGATCTTTTCCCTTACTCTGTGATTCCTTAGATTGTAAATTGTAATAATAACGGGCAAATTAAATTAAATTTTCTTTTCTCTTTCGACAGTTTAAATTGAGATTTTTTGAACGAATCCGATTATTTCTAAGCCTTGTTTTGTTGGTAAAGTTACGAGAATTTAACTTAACCTTTCACTCGCGTCGAGTGCCAATGCGATCGAATCTTCAATTGGTGTTAGAAATAGAGTTTAAGGGTTTCGTTGCCACATTAGGTGTTACTTTAATAACGAATTAAACGCGTGTGGTCGACACGTTTTAAACTGCCGCTCGGTTTTGTTCTTTCAATAAAGATTTGGAATTGCACTCTCGGATTTAAAAGATAGGGGAGAAATTTCAAAATTTCGTTCTTTAAGAACATTCTTTCTGGGCAATTTTAAGA